AGTATACGGGAGTCACGAGCAGTGAAAGGTGCGACGTCGAGCAGGGGTGCCACCACAGCAAGCTTACGATCACAACCTTTTCAGCGAAAGAAAAAACAATCAAGTTCTCCGATTTGTCCCAATCGAATATTCTGCACTTTCTTGGGTGACGGGCAGTCACGAATTAAACTTTTGGTGGGACGAACACACAACATCACTGAGCTAGACGCAGCATTTTCGTAGCCAGCAAACAGAAAATAAGTTCCTTACAAGTAAGTTTCTGTAAAATAAAAACTTCGTAGTCCAGGCCTGACAGCATATTATTTTTATAAATTACACCAGTTTGAAAAATAGAATCGTCAATATGCTACAACGAATTTCGGTTTTAATGCGTCTATTCTTAAAGATGGAACTTAGGCAAAAAAGGAGGCTACGAAAAGTTTTTTAGAATAAAATTATTTTCCCCATTAAAAAAATATTTATTGCCATATTTTTAATCAGGGACCTCAACTTTACTGGAAAACCAAGGTCGTCTTCGTGTAGCATTTCGACGATTTTATTATGTAAACTGGTGTTATTATTTTTAAAGCATAAGTTACCACTAATACACTTTTACCTATAGTCCGTCCGTTCTGTTATTCTCGGTACGATTTATTTATATTTGTATATCAAAGATCAAGCCCAAAGGGATCAAAACGAAACTTTAGGTTTGGATTCCGAAGGAATGGGGTCGGTTCAAGAACAATTCTCGATTAATTTAAGAACAAAAAGCTCATGACAATAAAAAATTTAAACTTTTTGGACATGCTAGTTTTTCTGAACGCCTGGTAGAGATGTATTTAATTACATTACTTTTGCTTAAATATTATTAATAGTTATTGTATTTTGGTTTTTGGTGATGACAAAAAATTTATTTACTCTTAGAAGTACATATAAACATTAGAAACAATATTTTATTAAAACTAAAGGTTTACGACGTCTTTTCGAACCTCTGCTACCATGTCTCAAAGACAGACAGTCTAGTAGCTGAACCACTGAAAGGATTTTTCGAGTACAGACGTTTAAGGATAAGCATTTGTCAGTGACGCGTTCATAATTTCACCTTAATGTTCATGATTCGACCGCGCGGCGTTCGTTTTTTATGAACGCCGAATAGCGGTCGGACTGTTTTTTAATCGTTTTTTTTTATTTTTGATAAATAAACTATAAAATTTATTTGTGTATTTTGTTGAGTTTAAATCACTTTCACCCATGGTAAGATCAACACAAAGGGTAATAAAAAAAACTCATTACAAAAATTGGACATTGTGGCAGACTATGCGTCTATGTATGACTACACTTGCAGGCCGTCCAAGTATCCAATTGTCTGATGGTGCAATCTTTTTAGTCTTCTTCTGTTCATAGGTCTGGAAAGTGTAAGAGACGAGTCTTGGTCTGTAGCGAGTGGCAGTCTTAGTGATAGATGAACAAACAGGATTAGTTTTGAGATCTCAAAATTTTTTTGTGTTTCTTATATAGTACGGGGCGTTTATCAAATGTCTAAAAATTTTGTCTTGCCAGGGTTAAATTATTTTTACAAACGTGCTACAGGCAGTGCCCCAGAAGTGTAAATTCCAATGTAGACTAGGTATTAAAATAGTTTTCATGAGCCGAGTTTTCGCATCCATATCATTTTCCTGGACTTTTGCCTTATGAAAGCACAGGTAGTCACAATGTGCTGCTTCCAGGTAAGCCGACTGTCCAAACTAAGGGTGTGTCCGTGTCGGAGTGCTTCATTGGTGTCCCGTCCAAGGTGAGGCGATAACTGTTCAGCTATCTTCCCAAGATAACTTTGTATTTCACAATTTTTGATTTTGTAAAATAAGAAACGGTGTCTAGCTTAACCAGCCGCAATTGGCCCTGAGGGGAATCCCTCCACAAAATGCATTGCAAATAGCTATCCCTCTTGCAAGCCCTAACACAACGGTACATTTGGCCAATATCTCTTTTGATTGCTACTGGGTGGGAACGAAACCGAAGAAGAACATAGAACAGTTTTTGCTGAGTTACAGGACCCGACATAAGCACATCGTTGAGAGAATTTCCAGATAAACTGCCCGCAGGTCCATTTAAAAATATTCGAAGTTTTGTTGTGGAAATATCTTCCTTTAGGACGCAATGATGAGGCAAGAAGTATCGGCACGACCCGATGTCAGCGGCAGAGACTAATGGCATATGCCCTATTGAGCCTTCAAGGCTGACCGGCGATCCAGCTTTCTCTCTAGGGACAAGAATCTACGATGAGCTTGCTGATAGGACTCTTCCAACAGATCAAGATTCAGTTTGGAAGGTAATCGAACAGAATAATCACCAGCTGGCAAACGAGCGACATGCCTCGTCGCCTCATCCTATGTAGCCCGTATTAATATAGCGAAGGGTAGATCATGAGACGACATTAAGGAGAAGCAACGGGAGAGGCCATATCCTCCAGAAACAACCCAACCCAGGCAAGTCTTCTGAATTAGAGGCAATCCAGGAGGAAGCTTGATTTGCCCAACGCACAACAGCTCGAAGAAACGTCTGGCTCCAATTAAAGGGTCAACACACTGACGAGCATAAGACTTGGGGTCAGCTTACTGTATATTTTCAGGTATGTTCTAGTTTCCGAGGCTGTCGGTGCGATTACTGCGGTAATATTAACTGAGTATTCGGATGTAACCTAGTGAGCATCCGTCACAAAATTCGAATCTTTCATTCCTGTTACAAATGCTGAAGTCTTCTGTGTTTGAAGCAGGGTGTGGTGCTTAGATCCGCATGTACGGCAATTACTGGAATTGCATTGCATCACTTGATGACCAGTCATCAATCAATCAATGCGTTGGTAAGGTCAGGATGACTATCTATGACCGTAGTGAAGATAAAATAAATCTCAGTCCACTTCGCATAGCCTCCAAAGACTTTCGGAAGCTCAAGAGGCGGCAGTAAGGTTGCCCTATGTCGAGGCTAACGCTGCTGAGGGCCAAAAGTACCGTGAGTAATACCATCAGCAAATTTTGAGTGCGAAAGCAATTGCGAGGCGGGCACTGATATTTCCGCTCCGCTTTGATATTTGCGAACCAATAATTTAAAAATAAGGAGAACGTCGTAAAATCTCTCGCCCAAATCACTTTCAATTTCCTTGCAATCCAATTCTTTGAGCTTGTTAAGAAGGTTTCATCAATCAGCTCCAGCCTCACGTGAAGGACGGACTTGTCACATGAAGTCAACGTCGCACTTGATAAGGAGTCCACTAGACGCCTGGCACTTTAAAAATATCACCTTGTTTGCATCAGCGGGAACATCTCCAACATTTCCCGTAGCCATGACGACAGCAACAACAAACACCAGCAGAGTAAATGCCCGAAATTCGGTTTCAGCGGGAAGATGAGCGTAGAGAGGACGAGGGAATAACGGTCCGTTAATTTACTATGCTCGCGCCTAAGTATAACGCAGCTTGCGCAAACTCAAAACTTACATGAGTATACAAGAAATGCAAATGAACAAACCGAGAGAGCGAGATCGAGAGAAATTATTATAATATAAGAACTTGAAATAGGATACGTTTATTACGTGCTGCGGCTGACTTGACACCTATAAACTGAAATCTTTAAAAAGTTTAGAAATAAATGGTATACCTGTTAGTCGTAGAGTAAAATGGTATAAAAGATTCGTCGGAAAGTATGTAACAGGCAGAAGGAAGCATTTCTGACCCCATAAAGTGAAGCCATGTTTGTCAGTTCTTACGAACGCTGAGATCTCAAAAACTATAAGAGCTAGAAATTTGGGATTAAGCATACAGATTATTGGGTTTTCTTCGACGCAAGTTTGTTTTATCGGAGTGCCTCCCTAACGTCTACAACCGCCATAACGCTTAATTTGTCTGTCTGGCGTCCAAATTTTTTAATATTTTGTACAATTTTAATTGGGATTTTATTCTTCTTTTTAATAATTTTCTACATGCCAAAAATGGTTCAAAGTTGACCATTCATTTAAAAGTAATAAGCAAATAAAGAAATAGACGATAAGTGGTGTGTTAGTGTGGTGTGCAATCTCGAAAACAGCTGATTGGCTGCATTCGATTCTTCATCTCTCGTGCACTTCCTTTAGCTGAGTATCGGGCATCCGATAGTCAAGGTCAACAACAAATTAAGTAGTATTACACAAGTTGCTCGTAGAGTAAAAGGGTATACTAGATTTTTCGGAAAGAATGCAATCCTTTTGGCGTGAACATTCTCTATTTTTCTATGTTTGCTCGCTACGAAACTCTTGCAACTTGCTCAGTAGATTTGTGCTTTCGTCCCACCAAATGTATACTAAACGTGACCGCCCGGTTAACACTAACAACAACTTAAACTTCGTGTTATGAGTCGTTTATTCACGACTATGGGTTACAAGGTTAATTTATCTTGTGCTGGTGCTTCTTGCGCTGATGCTTCTAGCAGTCCTCCGCTGCTGGTAGCGTCCTCTGCTCCTGATACTTCTGCCGTCACTGGTAGGAGATGACGAAGAGTTGGGAGTTAGGCAAGCATCACCGTCCTCAGACGAGGGTGACAAGGCGCTGAACTTTCAAGACAACCTATGATGACTCTGCGCTGCGATGTCCTTGCTCTGCTTAACTGGGTCTCGGTCTCACAGCATTCCGGTGCTACGTCTGCAAAATTCCTGCCTAACAATTCGGGCAACTGTCCGACGTAGTTAGAGCAGTCCTCGCAACAGCCTCCGATACCGGACTCAAGGTAGCCAATGCACTATGGGGAAAATGACCACTTTATCTGGCATTTATTATTGTGAGTAAACCAAAAGAGATTTTTCACTGCGGTTTTTTTTATTATGTTGTTATAGACCATAAGAACCTATTTTAGAAAAATGGGCGTGTCAACGCCCCTTTTGCCCAAAAAATCGAAAAAATAATATTTTACATGCATTTTTAGATATTAACTTTTCAAATTCAGTAACCTCTACGTGCTTACGTTGTAGATAGGAGTTTCGCCACGCCCCCTCCCGCCCTAAAAATTGTGAAAACCCAGTTTTTAATTAATTTTCTTTATTTTCATCATTTTCTTCATTTTCCAGCTCGAAGTTTTCAAGAAAAAATAGACTGTTGTCTTCAAGCTCATCTTGTTCTGAAAAATCACTTATGTATTCGTGCTCACACGAGAGCAGCTGGATAACCTCAATGGGAAGGGAAAGATTTTTATGTTTTTTTATGCGTCGCGATAAATTTAGGGAAGAAATCACTGGATCTGATGTATCCAAAGCTCGTTTAAACACATCGCCTAAAGATTCAAATCGACTGTGCTTTCTGGAGTGATGAAGTCTATCCGATTTATAAATTTTGTTGCGGGACTCAGACGCTTCTTCACCAAAACAGCCGACTGGAAGCACCGTATTTTCCATGATTTGCCTTGAGTGCACAATAATTTTATGGAGTGTTGGTGTCATGGGGAGCCATGGATAACTGTCCACAATCATTTCGCCAGTTTGGTGACAGTATGCCTCGAATTTTTCTAAGTTTATTGGCAATTGACAAGACAAACATATCAAAATGATCCTCAAATTGTAGATTATTTGTTGATCAACTCCAGTTATTTCGGAAAATTTTTTGAAGTTGGCAAACGCGCGACGTGCAGTGTTTCCGGTATTTGTATTTCCAAAACCCCCCTGCTTCGGCTTATCGACTTTCAAAGCCAGTTTTGCCCAAAACATTTCCTGTATACTTGCCTTTCGTTTTAGCATCGCTTGCTTGTCACATGGATCAGTAATTGGCCATTTCTTTACCTCCAGCTTATACCCAGCATGCAAGACGAACTCAAAAATTCTTATCCAGCAATGAAGTGGGCTTACTCCATATTTCAGATTGTCTGAAACTGGCAAAAATTTTAAGCACTTGAAATTTTTATTTCCAAGGAAATCTCTTTGGCTCGAGTGGCATATGGGGCATGCTTGAAATGATTTTGTGTCCGTTAATGCATTCAGAACTTTTCCATCAATGGCAGTGAGATATGGACTGAATCTTACATACACAAATTGAGTATCGTTTAAAGATACCTTAAACATCGTTGACTTCAACATTTCAATTTGCAATTGTATGTCCCTGCTCTCTTCTAAAATGACTTCTTTTGTTTCTTTGAGAAACTCCAATTTTAGTGGACGACAAAACCTAATGGACTGAGGGGTGCGATTGTTCCACAACAAATTTCCGGATGAGTCTATGAGTCGAAGAGGCATTATGGTAGTGGCAAAAAGGCATGAGTCTCCGTTACACGATCTTTTATCTGCGTATGCCTGGTTATAGTTCGCCTGTCCAGTACTTCCATCGAATCCGTAGCTGACGATGAGCTCAGCAGATAAAAAATCAGTGTGCTGATTGGCCAATACACCATGGATAACATCTTTTTGAAGTGTCACAATCCGAAAAGCTGTGTGTTCCAAAAGGTCTTGCAGAGAGACCTTGGCTACAGTCTCTGATACATTGATTTTGCCTGGTCTGCATTGCTTCTTTTGCTCTGCCACATTTTTATAAATTGGGTAGATATCCACATTTCTCTTACGAATGTCATCTCGGATAGAACAGTACTGCTCCTTGGTCAATCCTTGATCCAAAATTAATGCCAACGCTTCGTCTTTGGACGCACTTATAGGCTGATCAACGGGCTTTGTCAATCCTTCTCTGACTTGCTTGGCTTTTTCCGGGGTACTTCCTAGTATTTGAAGAACTGCAGCAAGATCATGTAGTCCTTGTTTCCGGGCAGCTGCGGTTGCTGCATGTACTAGAAAAAAAACATCGTCCCCTTGGAATTTGGAAAGTTCCGCTGCTTGCAGTCTTTGAGCCCTTTCGCCTTTCGATTCAAATGGAAGTAGTGGTCGTCCAACTGGTCTGTTACTTTTTTTTAAAGGCAAAGTTGTGTTGCCTTTCATCCATGTGGAATGTTTTGTTTCGAAGTTCTTATAAGAGCTATGACATTTAAGCCAGTTGTAATACAAATTGTTGCAAAATTGGTGACTTTTATGTTTTAAAATATTATCATCCACATTATTGCACGCATGCAGTTCAAAATATCTTTGAACGGCCTTCTCTCGCTCGTGCCGGCCCCTCTCGCTATTCCACACTGCAAACAAGTCGACGTTGGAAAAAGTGAGGTTACCTAATAAAAATGCAAATTCCGCCAAAATATGGAAAAATATGACATTAGGACCAATTCCTGTAAACTCAGAATTGACAACGCTACAACAATCACTTGGACAAACACTTAAACAATTCTAAACTCTCTTAGATAATCCTTTCCAAAGTTGAAATTTGTTTCTAAAAATTCAGCTAAGGAAGCTCTTAGAAAACTGCAAAATATTAGTATACACACGCACAATTTTAACGATTTAGTACATTTAACACACAGTGCAAACCTGCGAGATCAGCATTCATGTTTTGGTTTTCCTCTAGTTGTTGTTCCATCATTAAATATTAAAATCCAAACTCAGCGTACAAATTCACACAACTTAGCCGCACGTGCTTTCGATTGCAACAGCTGACTTAACAGCCGTTTTTCTAACAGGGGACTGTTAAATTTAACATTTTGAGTTTGGGGCATAACAGTCTGATGTTTTCTTAATGCGTTAACAGTAAAATTGTCGTAATTAGAAAACTTTTAAAAAACATGCAAATGCCAGATAAAGTGGTAATTTTCCCCATAGTGCAATGGCTGCGCTTTTCAGCCGTCGGGCGCTACAGCCAGTCAACACCACGTCAGGATCGGCAAGATGGGCAGAATTGCCAGGACCGGCAGGATACTCTTCCCGAGCCTAACGCCTCCTAGTTGAAATTGAACGCCTCAGACAACCGTCGGGCGCAAAAATCAGTTGACTCCACGTCAGGATCGACAGAATACGTCGGTTTTACGAGTGGTTATTTTTTTCGGGTAACCGTCTGACGAGTCTTCACTCAACTAAGCCGTGTATTTTTCTCTTAAGAACCTCAGCTACCTGTGTCTGAATTCGGAGACTTATGCTATACTGAACGTCTCGATCTTGCTCCTTGATGACTTTCACGACTGTATCTCCTTGACTTTGACTTACTTGACGTTGTTCACTCGCGTTCTGATTCTCGCATATTTTTACATTCGGCACTCTTTATACCAAAATCGTACAGCTAAACCCAAGCATATTGAATAGCAACGTGCCGACTGTAAAGAAATTAAAATATTGTATTTATTTCGTAGATTGTATAATACATTTTCTTATGTTTGCTGAAGGTGCGACCGTCACTAGATTTTTACCTCGTTAAGAGGATTGGTGTCAGAAGTTTTTGTTTTAAACATCAATCACATAATTAATTAAATTTACTTTTACACTTTCAACGATCTTTTTCCTTAACGAATAAAAATTGTTACAGTTCTTGTACGCAATCCTTTTAGGTTTTGCAATATCTTTTGATTGTTGTACCACTAGTTATGATCGGACCATCACATCAGTGGTGCAGTGGTCTTCGTCACAAAGTGGACTGCCGTCCACAGTAATGTTAGATTTAACATTAGTGTACCTCAATACCATGATCAGAAGTCATGTTTAAATTAAAAATTAATACAATAGTGTTTTCACTTTTATTCCGCTGTAAAGGCTAGGACTTCGCATGCAATTCTGTGGAGCGCACATTTAAGATTTAAAGATTTAAACGGATGTTTGGAAACTCAGTTTTCGTCATAAGTTTTAAACGCAGAGAAGGAATAAAAGTTGTTTCAAAAGGCGTACAAAGTATTTCAAAATTCCTTTTTACGATATATAGCACAAACCTGTAGCTTTAGTTGTTTACAAGTTACGGGTGTACTAAATATATCACATCTCTTCGACGTTGATGCACTATGGTCAGTACAAACAAGTGGCCCTTTACGACACCAAGCAATGCTTGTTACGCGCGGAGCCCTAAACCGATTTGGGCAAGTAAACGAAATCGCGGACATGGAAAAAGAGATGATGTAACAATAGACAGTTTAAAATACATGCTCACAAAAAATGGTTAGAGAAATAGAAATTTAAAAATTATTTGAAGATAGAAAATAAATAAGTTTATCGTTGTTTACGTCAAAAGGGCGTTTAATTTCAGGAGGCAGTGTCGAGCGGCAGTTTTATCCAATTGTCTACATCTCGCGCGCTCGCACTGCCGTCCGCTCACCCTCTCCATCTCTCCCTTAAGTCTCCGCTCTGCTCTGGAGCGCTTAAGTTAAGTTAGATTTACGCAGTTCATGTTTCAAAGTGTACTAATAAACACCTACGCACGTCGCGTAAAAACCCCAAAAGTACTCCCGTGTTTTTTGGGTACCACTCAATCTTGGGGCTTCAATTATTTCATCGATCAAGCCACCCCGCCCCAACATTTTGGTCCAGTCGAAGCCGGATTTCAAAATCTTTCTTTGATTTTGTCCCAGCAGGCTTGAACCGCTCCAGATAAGTTCCACTTACTATTATTGCCGGTCATACAGCCAACCCTATTTCGACTAACTTTCTGTATGATATATTGTCTAAATCCAAAAGTGATTAATCCGACGCAACGGCATTTAATATATGTACTTCAATTCCGTTACTTGGGCCCGACAATATTCCAGTTTCCTTTGCCCACAATTGTACACTTGAAACAATTCCAGAAGATATTTCAGTGCTACTATTCAACAACCATATTTCTAAAAAATATTTTTAATTCCAATTGTGTGTAAAATATAACTCAGCCACAGTAAAAAATTCCGGATCATAAAATTTTTCCTTAAGACTTGCACTCTTTATTTTTTACTGTGTTCCAGCTGCGTGTGTATATTTACATAAATATTCTAATACAGTCCACTCTAACTACTTGTTCTAATACAGTCCACTCCAACTACTTTTCTCGAGCTACAAATACGGCTAAACTATTTCTAAAATTAAAAACAAAGTTACAAATTCCACAAATTTACTCCAGCAAATCGTTTGCAATTTAGTTGTGCAGGTGACAAACAAACGCACCAACATACAGACATAAGCGGAGTCTTTCAAATTCCCGCAACGTTATTCCGCTATTCGCACCCCACATATGTACACATGTACAGTGTACACACATACGTATATCGATATTTTCGCCAGTGCACGTGGGTCAAGAACTCACAATAAATGTTCCTTCCAAACATACAATATTTAAGTTCGTAATTCTTTACATAAGTCCGACCATCCGATATAATAAATATTTATTGACTCTGCCTATCCGACAGTGTGACCGTATATTGACAATCTTAATTGGTTCCTAAATTCCAATTTGATCCCAATCCGTTTCCTTACTTTTGAATTAAAATTCTAAATTATTTAACGTCATGGCAACATCAGTAAAATACGCTTTAACCCGATTTATGGCCACAGCTGACTGTCTGATCCACTTTGAGGCCACTGTGAACGCCCCAGGTGCTCCTACCCCAACGTTATCCGCCTATAAAATCCGTCGCGATCACCTTAATTCCTTGTGGCAAACGGTAAAGGCAGCATACGACATATGCTCCGACTGCATTATAGCTGCAGGTGAGAGCGCCGCAGACACAAAATCCATACTAAAGTCCAAATATTACCAAACGTACTCCACTTACGAAATATTTGCCGCGCAGCTTATGGAGCAAATCCAAGAAGGCTCCTCGCAAGTACCTCAAGCTCCAGTAACTCCGTTCCAAAATTCGACCTCTTATGGCTGTCGGCTCCCTCCTATCGACACAGAGGTTTTCTCTGGCGATTATCTTCGCTGGCCGACTTTCCGGGACCTTTTCACGGCAACATACATAGACAATCCTAGTCTAACGCCCGTTGAAAAATTATTCCATTTAAATTCAAAAACAAGTGGCGAAGCTCATTCCATAGTTTCAAGATCCCCACTCACCAATGATGGCTTTCGCTCAGCCTGGAATAACCTAGCTGAACGTTTCGAAAATAAGCGATTGCAGGTGAACAGTCACCTGAAAACACTTTTCAATGTGCAATCCATAGCACAGGAGTCGGGAGCAGCCTTAAAGGAACTTCAACGCACTTTTCAAGGTTGCTTAACTTCCTTAAAATTTTCCGGTGTTAATATTGAGATTTGAGACCCTATCTCACTCTCTCATTATGGGAGCAATCCATCCAAAATAAAGCCGAAATTCCTACGTGGCTTGAGCTTGATTCCTACTTGACGGAGCGCCATCGAACTCTTGAGGCCGTCGATAGCTTCCGATCTGCCAATTTCCACCACGTCCAGTCCAAAGACATAAATCGAGTGGCAGAATTTCCAAAAATAAATTCCTTCAACACAAGGCTAGTTCCGATACCCAAAGGCTGTGATCTGTGTTCGAAGAAGAACCACCCCGTGCGTATATGTCCACGCATCCTACAAATGACGGTATACGATCGCCTAGCCTATATTCAAAGGAAGCAGTTGTGCTCCAATTTCTTTGCAAGCAGCCATCAATTCCGGGATTTCACAAGCGCTCACAACTGTCTCACTTGCCAAGATCGGCATCACACATTGCTGCATCGAAACAGCGGCCCTACTACTCCGACGATTCCATCCGACCCTCCAAGGCCAGTATCCGCCTCAGTTCCACACATCATTTCGTCCTATTCAACGCAAGTTTCCGTACAAAAAGTCCCTCCTAAGAATACTCCATCCGAATATTGGGTTCCATACCCCACCTTGGATGGCAGACGTACTCGAGGTATTAAATCCTACCAATGCCGAGTCTGCCAAAAGATCCATCCTCTACGGAAGTGCCACCACTTTCTACGGCTAAGCCCCCAGAATCGGCTCCAGGAAGTACATATCCAGAAGTACTGCTCCAATTGCTTGGCTCACAATTAAACCAAGGACTCCTTCCGCAGTGGTCATCACTGCCAGAAGTGTGGAAAGGATCACCACACTCTCCTACATACGGACGACCGATCTACACTTCCAACATATTCCTGAGCCTACTATCCTGAGGTTCTTGCTACGGGTGTCCTCGCGAGGGGGGGGAGAATGTTTACGTCAAAAGGGCGTTTAATTTCAGGAGGCAGTGTCGAGCGGCAGTTTTATCCAGATGTCTACATCTCGCGCGCTCGCACTGCCGTCCGCTCTCCCTCTCCATCTCTCCCTTAAGTCTCCACTCTGCTCTGCAGCGCTTAAGTTAAGTTAGGCTTAAGCAGTTAATGTTTCAAAGTGTACTAATAAACACCTACGCACGTCGCGTAAAAACCCCAAAAGTACTCCCGTGTTTTTTGGGTACCACTCAATCTTTGGGCTTTAATTATTTCATCGATCAAGCCACCCCGCCCCAACAATCGTAATAAGTTGCATTAGGACTATCTAACAGTAAGAAGTGACACAGTGCATTATAATCTTCACAAAGAACACGAAAAAAATCATGAAGGGCATAATTGGATCTACATATTGGCAGGGACAACGGTCGAACACGACTAAGTGTTCTACAGGGTATATTCCAGTTGAGGGAACTAAGAAGGAAAGGAGAATCGACGTCACCACTAATTAGTTTATGCAAAAACATAACTCCATGACACTTTCTACGATGGTTCAGGGTTGGTAAGTCCAGCAGGCGCAACATCGCATGATAAGAGGGAAATCGACCTCTTGTGTCCCAGTTTAGTCCTCTCAAGGCAAATAAATGGAATTGTTTTTGAACTGACTCTAGCATATTTTGGTAACAGCTAATTTGAGGTGACCATATACACGAGCAATATTCCATAGACGGACGAACAAGAGAAACATACAAAAACTGTGTATGGATCATAAAACTCCCTTGACCAACGCTTCATAAACGCAAGGAGACTTGTGGCTTTGTTAACTATAGTAGATATATGGTCTTTAAAACTAAGTTTATGATCAAATAGAACGCCAAGATCCTGAACAGAAAAAATACGTTCAAGGGCGTTATTACCGATAGAATAAGAATACAGAGATGGATTACAACGATAAAAGGTCATAAAGTTACATTTAGAATAGTTCAAATTCAACATGTTAATCATGCACCACGTATACAAACAATCAAGATCTAATTGAAGGTCATTATATGAATTAGGTAAACACATGGACAAACAT